TGTATACATACATACATACATAAAAGAAAAATTAAAACACAAGTCGGTATTATTTCAATATCAAAAAGGTCTTTAGCCGACTACTTGAGGATACTTTATTTACCAATCACACGTTTTTTACAGCAAATACAACATATCCCATTTATTTTAATAAAAACAGTTTATCTCTTTATGATCACAGTTGTATAGATGGTTTATATTGCACTTCGTTTCAATGCATAAATGTTGATGATTCACTAACTAGCCGAGATTGGATAGCTCCTCAGGTGCGACGGTAACATAAAATACATTTCTTAGGGATTTTGTACAAGATGCATTTATGTATGTATCTGTCTGTCTTATTAACGTGTTTACGTGCACTAACTACTACATATTTATGTATGTAAACTTATTTTTTGTATGTATAAGTATATTTAATTAGGTACTTGCCACGAATTTCAGACACTACTTTCTTCACTATTCGCTATAGGAAATATTAGACTAGAACATTTGCTAGGGGGACTCGAAGTAGGTAGTGAATCTAGTTGATTTGCATTATTTTGTATTTGTAAATGCGATGAGGTGGAGGCTGGAGTAGCAGCAGTAGTTGGTATTGTAGTCGTTGTTGTTGTTGCATTTGTGTGCACTGGCACTGGTCGTGCTATCCGAATATTATAATTATTCAGCGCCGGATAAACGCACCCCTTACGTTTGTTTGATTTCTCTCCCAGCTGGGCAATTAGTGGCAAATCCTCAGTGCGGGTGAATATAAACTCTTCGGATGACAATCGTTTGCGTATGCGGCCACCAATTACATCGCGCCTCATTTGTTGTGTTGAGTCGGCATGCGATTGAGGAGTAGACTCAGGGGATTGATTTTTTTTCGCGACACCTGCAGTTTGTGTACTATTATGGTGCGCTGGATGGCAATCAGGTTCATACACCGGAAAATGAGATTCGAGTACACCCGGTCGTATGACTAATGTCTCCTCGGTGACACTTTGGCACTCAGAGTTGCCATTAGAGGCGGTTTTGTTACAGCAAATGAACCTACCAGGCGTCGAGAACTGTTCGATGGACGAGTTTGCGCTATAAAAAGTAGTTTCACCTGATCCACTATTCCTTTCTTTGTTCAAACCCACCATTAAGCATTGGCTGTGCTCCACGCGCTGGCAGCAATCAACTTTAACTTCACATCTCACATCCAATCGGCATGGACAATTAGGGCATTGCCCCTGGCAATCTTCATTTAGAATTTCACTATCACTAAAAGTTAGTTTCTTAGCAGGATGCTGAGCTTGCCTTTGTTCAGTAGTATCCCCATCTAATGGATCGGCTGACTTTGAACTCTGCTTAGATTGGAGGGCATTGGCACCAATAGATTCCTGTACAGGAGCGGCTTTAAGTTTCAACTGAACTCGACTAAGACTCTGTGCCGATTCGTAACTATCGTCACTTGAATCGAAGCTTGATTGCTGATTGTTGTTATTATTATTACTATAGCTGTCGCCAAAGATGGGCGGCAATGTGACAAACACTCGGCCCATTCGCTTGTATTGATCCAGATTGCGACTGTCCTCTGCGCATGTTGACAGGTTTTCACTAAACTTGGGCGCTCGCCGCATTATTTTAGGAGTATGCATTTGTGATTCAAAAATGTCTTCGAGCATCGGTCGTGCGTTTGCATTATCGCCGCCGCTTAAGTTCAAGTTATGCAAATACCGTTCTATGCTGTTAGCCAAACTAATAGGTGCACTTGTGCGCGACGAGATGCTTGAGATCTCCGATAACGTTTCGGGACTAGCTAATGGCGCTAAACCGAGCCAGTCATCATGCAGCAAATCGATTGGTCGCGACGCATCCGAAGCCCTACGCAATGCTGTTATGGGCAGATTACGCTTCCGCTTATCGGCACGCGCCGAATATTGACGATATAGGTTAACTTTAGACGCAGCTTGCGGCGACGCCAATTTTATTGGCATACCAAAATTGCTATCAATGTCGAAAGCAACAGCCTTCAGGCGGTGGATAGGTAATTGATCTGGATAATTTATGATCACTGTGGCAGTTTCGCTCGGTACTGAAGGACTTCGACGCGTTACGGTTGTTATACTCTCATCCACTGATATGTCATACTGAGCTGAACTCAGCTGACTCCGACCGAAAATGCTGCCTGCAATCGATGATGTCTTACTAGAATTTGGTCCAGCAACATATTGCGCAGCTATCGTTTGTATATCCAGGGGGGCTTGTAAATTTGCAAAAGAAGTTTCATGGCAAATTTTGTGCTGTGTTGTTGGTGTTAAGTTTATGGAGCTGCTTATGTTAGGAAATGAGCTGTGCGATAGTTGCTTATATTGGTTGCTTTCAAGTTTTAAAACGTTTATTGGATCTACAGAACCGAGAGAAGATATTCGCTCGACTTCAAAATCATAAGGATTGTAGTCGTTAGATATGGTCGAGAATGCATTTGAAGTTTGACGTTGCGGTTTGCGTGGTCCACTGGTGGTTACAACCTACGACAGAAAACGAAGATATGTATGTGTGAAGCGTTTTTAATTTGTTCGGATCTGGTCCAAAAATTAACCAAAACGACAAATGAAGAAGCAAACGAAAAAATTGCACCGAAATCATAGCCATTAAAGCAATTAGAAAATAAAGAGTGGGGCGTGCAAACAACCCGATCGTTTGACTCGATCTATATAACTGCATACATGCAATACATACACACTAGCAAAAAAAAAAATAATAATCACTACCAGAGTAGTAAGCGATTTAGTAATGTATTCGTGGCAGGAAACAAGGAGTTTTCTTTATAAAAGTGATATATTTTTTGTTCTTATTCACAAAAAAAATGTGCTCATTACTTCCTATAGGGCAAACTTTCTACTGAAAATACGGTAGTGAGTTGGTAATAGATTTTGTGTTAAAAACAAGTAATTTGTAAGCAAAAAAAAACAAAACCGACTTAAATTCTCATATAAAAATTTAAGTTTATCGTTAATTTCTTCATGATCCAGTGATCGGATTTAAACCACCACCTGTGAGGTTACACCTTTTCTTTAAAAAGAATTATAGAAATCAGTTAACGAGTTCCAAAGTTATGCGGTAACATACATAAAAAAATTAAAAAAAAAAAAATATTCCGATGAATTGATAACCTTCTTCTTTTTGTGAAGTTGGTTAAAAAATAAAAATAGATTGGCCCCTGAGGATTATAACGAGTCTTAGCGAAACGTAGGGCAAAGCAGTAAAGAAAAAACGTTTGTTTTACTTGCACTAAGCACTGGGGCATTCGATTATGCGTCTTTTTTCCAAAACCAGTTTTCGAGTTATTCGAAAAATTGCAATTGAAAAAACACCGGTTGCCTATTTTGAAATTAAGAAAAAACAAACGGTTTTATTTTACATAGCTCATTAAAACTAACAAAATAAAACACGATATGTCGTGACTTTAAAGCGAAATATTTTTTATTTGTTCGTATTGGTTTCCTGAAAATTGATGTTTTCTCGTCACGAAAGACTTCGTGTTTTCGTAAATATAATTCAGTCAGTTCACGCGAATTCATATAAGGTGGTAGCAATAGTAAAAAGCAAAAAAACAAAAAAAAAACAAATGGATGTACAGTAAAACCTCGATATAACGAAGCTGAATTGGTTCGACTTTGTTATATCGTTTCGTTAAATTTATATAATATGAAAACCTCGATACAACGAAAAATTAAAAAATTTATAATTTAATAATTTTTTTTTTTATAACGGGACTTTTCAAAATATTTCCAAGGTTTTCATGGTCCAAATAGCATCGTTATATCTATAGAGCATTTTTGTATAGAAAATTTCGCACATCGTTGTTTTCTGTTGTGTTTAAAAGTGTTAAAATAAGAATAACTCAACTTGTAAGGAGTAAGTAGTTACCCGTTTATTCAATAAACTGTGTCAAGATAACACTTTAAACAAAAATTCCATCAGCTATTCGTCTGAATTGCAAGTTTCTGCAAATTTTCTGTTGGCTTACTATTCTGGATATTTTTCTCTTGGGAGAGAACAGATGACATTTCGGTATTTTTTACTGGAGGTTTTAAACGAACGTACCTATTATGGAAAAATATGAAATCTTGACATTTGTGTACCAAGCAAGGCAAATCAAATCATCTGGGCTAGTAACAGAACAGCAGTGTGATATAATTTCGGTATCGGTCAATAACGGTCGTTAGTGAAATGCAAATAGCAGGAAAATCACTACATACCAAGGTACATTGAACAGGTAGTATCAGTAGAGCAGCTGATTTGATTTATTTTCAAATTATTTGGTCTCGAAAATGTCAAATATTTTTAATTTTTTCTCACGAAAATTATAAGTTGTTAAAATCAATTTGCTTGTGAAACCTTTTTCCATACAAAACAAACGATTGAATAGCAGCTTTAGGAACGTTCGCCCAACTCGGCAGCACGACCGCTGATTACTGGGCCTTGCAAAGGATGGATCAATGCTTCGAGAAGCAAACAAATTTACTTGCATCAATTTTAATTTTTTCCAATTTCAATTTTTTATTTTTTATAATTTTTTGTATTTCACATGGCACGCTTTGATTTAGAAGAAAAAATTCAGAACAGTTTTTGACACTTTCGATACCAGAAGCAACAACAAAATACACGCAAATGTTGTTTTTGCTCTACTGATACTACCTGTTTAATGTGCCTTGCTACATACGTTGTTTATGAAAAAGATACCTGTTTGAATGTGTGTGTAAGAATATACTATAGTTAAGCCGAATGGAAAAAAAATATAATAATTGCCAAAAATGTGTTTATTTGTATGTACAACTGATCACCTCATATTCATGGGTATGTGGGCCCGTAATGCATATAAGTGATCGGCTCACACCCATGAACATTTGAGTCATTAATGGACCCAACTAATTAAGTCGTGGTTCTAGGGGTGCGTTATGATATGATAGCAAAGTTGAGGGCTTCACTGCTAACTCTTTGATGCAATTTCATTTTTTATTACATTTTGCTACTAGATACATACATACATAAATTAGAGTTTGTGTCATCACTAAAGAGAGCAATTAAAAATTAAGCAGAATTGAAAGTTGTGAAAAAATTTCAAAAGATATACATACATACACACATAATTTTATTTGTAGATATGATTTTTATAAGGATTGAAGCGAAAGATCGGAAAGCTTTCTTTTTGTTTAGGGGCGCAAGATTGCGTAAAACGATAGACAAGCAGACATTCCTACGTGTATATATACACTATAGAGATTGTATACATATATGTATGTATATGAGATAAAATTGTACAAAGATACATATAGTGTATGTATGTAGGAAATAGGAATACAGCTGAACTATGCAAGTTAAAAAATCAGATTATATAATTGTTGTAAATAATAATACCTTGTATTGCAGCGAATCGACACTACAAGTACGATCTGATTTTCATGCCTTTGCGGAGCGATTTTCATTTTGCACGACCTGCAGAGTAATGGTGTGCAGTTAATTTAGGTGTGCTGAAGGATTGCTTAGATATGTAGGTACAAATAATACATACACTCACATATGCAGGTCCATACAAATACACAATATAAATATGCAAAAGATTCTAATTGCAATTTTTTTTATAGAAATATCTTAAAGACAAACATATGTACATATGTATGTATGTATGTACATTTTATTTATTTATTTCATACGTTTATGCTTCTTCTGTCCATTGAGGCCTTTTGCGTTGATGAAAAAGATATTTGGCATTAATAAGATATGTAATTACATACATACATACATACATTTGAAATCACTTATAAACTCGTAACTCGTAACACAATTCAGAAGATATTGCATTTAAGCGCACATACCTACATACATATTTACATATGTACATGTGGGTGGATGGAATTAGGACCGCTTGAATTACTTGATCACTTTTCAAAATGAATTCTGCCTGCGCAAAATTACTGTGGATGGCGTAGCCGGAGTTGGACTGATGAGGGTTATTTTTTCCAAACGCGTCCGAAAACCGCCAAAACCTGAAAGGTGTTCTGTACAAAAATACTGTGGTCAGCTTAGCTGGCGTCTACATTTTATCTGTCAAAGTATTAGTTTTAACCCATTTTCAAATGGGTCTCCCAGGGGTCTGTAGAAGGAAAGGGCAACTTTTCTTAAAGCTTCAACTGTGCTCATTCTTTAGGTGCCAAACTCCCTCCCCCTCCCCCTCCCTCCGTCCCCACCACAATATCATTGTTCAAATAACCGAACACCAGTGAACCCGCATGGCGTTAAAACACCTAAAATTTAATTTTAACTTTTTAAACAGGTGAAAACTCTATTCAAAAAAGTAAAAAAATATTCCTAATGATTTATATAAAGTCATTTCTGCGTGATGAGAGGTCACGCTTCGTGCCGGTTTTTATTTCATCAGATTTCAAATCGCTATGTACCGCTAAAAGAGTTCTAACGTCAAAAAAATAAAACCTTATTGCACATCTATGTATAATCCCGGTTCTTTAATTTGGTTTCTTAGCAATAGCAATAGTTAGCAACCCTAATTAAAAAAATTATCAGCCTAAAGTTTTCTTAAAACTCTTTCGTTTGACACTAATATTACGATATTCGACCTTTCAAACGGTCGGCAACCCCTTTAAAAGAATTTTCAAGCTAAAATATTTTTAACTTTATCGTCTAGTATTGTGATACATATTTCAATTAACTGACGAATTAAGTTGAATTAGATTTTTTAACACGTGGCAACTCTTCTAAACAGAGTTCAGAAAAAAATTATTTTCAAACCCATTTCAATTGATACCCATCTTTTGGCAATCCATTTAACTTATTAAATAATTTTAATTTAATTTTTTCAACAGATGGCAACCCTCTTATGACTCCCTAAAAAATTCTAAATGTTCAAACTTAAGATTTATGGGCACTCTTTCGTTAAATACCCATATAAAATTTTATATAACCTGTGTATATTTAAACTAAATTCCACTTTCAAAACAGGCGGTGACCCTCTTCAAATTTAAATACTTCAAGTAACTGAGCAGTTAAGCTGAATTTAATGTTTTATACACGTATAGTAAATGTTCAGATTCAAAGGGTTTTAAGCCCATTTCGTTTGAAAACCATCTTTTAATAATTCATTTAACTTATTAAATAATTTGAGTTTGCCACCAGGGCAACTCTCAAACACATTAAAAATATTCTAAATGGTCAAACTAAAGACTTCTTAAAACTCTTTCACCCCACACCCATTTATAATATTTCATATAACTTGGGTTTAAATTAATTTAATTCGACTTCTCAAATAAGTGGCAAACCTCCTCAAAATACCTTCTTTAACATCTTTTGTCTTACACCCATATGGTGATTCCTAATTATTTTAATGAAAATTACATTAAATTTTAAACATGTGGTAACCCCCCTACACGTAATTAAGATATAAAACCTTTTCAACACCATTTCGGTTGATACCCATATTGTAACAATTGATTTAACTAATAATTTCAGCATAATTTCTTAAAAGGTGGCAACTCTGTTCGAAGAATTAAACTCCTATTGCACATCTACAGCCCAGGCCCTTTATTTTGACACGTCACTTTTCAAAATCGGACGAACAGTGCAGTACAGTACAGACCTGATGACCTGGACAAAAAATCCCTTCGCGTCCCAGTAGATAATTTCAGGAGCAAAAGCCCTTTCAAAAGGCCTTCCTGAGAGTCAAGAGGCCTTCCACTCGACATTCCTTTCTCCTTTCTTTTTTATATGGAGTGACACAAATTGAAGGACTTCTTCTTTCGCTACCCAGAAGAGTTTTTATAGGATTTACTTCAGAAGGCCTTTTGGAGGAGTTATTCTGAAGTAGCTTCTTTAATTTATAAAAATCATACATAAATCATCTCTTCTGGGGTATTATATATGTATATAGATTTTCCAATTCATTTTTTGATTGCCGCCTAATTTCACTTTTCAAAATGAATTAAAACCGCGCGGCCTAATTTCACATTTTTTGATTGCGGTCTAAATGCACGCGGCCATAATTCACTGAGCCGCACATGAGTATATACATACATATGTATACATATATGTATGTAAGTATATGTACATACAGTTGGTATGTAGGATATCTAATAAATGTAAGTATGGTAGATGTTAATAAGCTCAGCAGCCCTAAGCATTTTGTTCTTTAATTTAGACATAATCATGTAAAGCATTTTGGGGGTTGCTAGTTACATGCGCCACGACGTCATTTCAATGCATCTCTTAAACGAGGAAAACATAAAACAAACAAGTAATTTTTAAGCAAAAAATACAACCGACTTCAATGCTTGTATACAAATTTAGAAGTACCGTTAATTTCTTCATGATCCTATGATCGGACAAAACCAAAATAATATGGGATCACCTTTCCGATAAAAACAAAAGAATTATCTAAAAGATCCAAGCCAAAGTCATCCGGCAGGATACATAAAAAAATATACATATATATTCCAATTAATTGTTAAGCTTCCTCCTTTTTTTTGAAGTCGGTTAATTAATATGTGTACAACTTTATTGTTAAATATATGTATGTATTTTCTTGCTAAACAATGAAACATTTTATATAACCTAATAAAAAGGAAACTAAAATATAAAACATAAATTACATACAATTGAATAATGCAATGAACAACGTGAAATTAAGTTTATATTTAATATCGAAAGATTTTCTTTTTGAAGAACATATATTAGAAACTTAACATACATATTCGAATGCGATACTGATCACTTGATAGAATGCGTTTTGCATGAGTTAACTATACATACATACATACATACATACAAACATCAAAATAAAACAATCAATAATAACAGGGCAAAAGGAATCCTGGCTTTTAAGCATAGGCAAGCATTTCATTTGACTTAAATAATAATATACTGTGTGGCTACAATAAATAATACAATATAATCTTTTTATATCTACGAATCAGTACTATTCAAAGAGGAGTTGCTATCGTTAATGATGCCGGCAATTACCTTTTTGAGTGCCGCCAGCACCTTGTCCGGCATGTGATCCTGCAGCATTACTGGCGATATGAGAACCTCATCGAAATCGCAGGTATCAGCCCAGATGGCCTGATAAACCGGCTCGTGGCTCTTAAGAACACTTCTGCAATTGTAGAAGACAAGTAAATATGTATATATAAATATAAATGTATGTACAAGTATCGAGAGTTGAAGCAGGCTTGCAAAAGGAATGTATGTATGTATGTTTATTAGACCTTGCCGGAAAAAAAAGTTCGCCGTACACCCCTGAGTGTGAAGTGTTTTTGTCGGAAAATTTCGTTTTTTTTTTTTTGTAAATTTTATTGTGGCTTATTAATATTTATTTCAATGGTTTTATTGAACTTCGTACCATTTCCATTCTTCCTAAAAAACAAACGCGCTACAAAGCTCAATAACACTATTGAAATAAATTCGATTTATTTTTTTGTTTGGCCGAACGTACGGGTTGGCTTTTTAAATTTTTCGTTAGATTTACATTTCGTTAGGCATGCTCGGCGAAAAAAAATAAATAAAAAAGTGTTGCGATATTTCTCTTGCAAAAATAAATACTTTGAACTCAGGGGTATACGGCGAAATCTTTTTTTGTAAGGTGGTATGGGCTAATGAATATATGTTTGTACTACATACATACAAATGTTATATCGACACCTGAGTGGAAAATCGATCTATCTCGGTAGCCAGTTCGAAAACGCCCTATCTCAGAAAACTTTGCCAAGAACGCCCTACTTTCGAATTTGATTGAGGAACGCCCTTTTTCAGAATTTTATTGAAAGACACCTTATCTCAGAATTTGCCTGCAGATGGCGCTATTTCCGAATTCGGTTCAAAAATGCCCTAGTTCAAATAAAAATGTACTGAAAATGTGCTGAGATAGGCCGTTCTTCGACCAGATTCTGAAATAGGGCGTTCTTGAACAGTTTTCTGAGATAGGGCGTTTTCGAACTGGCTGCCAAAATAGGGCGATCTTCCACTCAGGTGTCGATATGTACATGTACATACATATAAGCACTATTAAGTATTAAATAGGCATTGAAAAGTTTTAAATATCTGGAAGAAATTTTGATATGTGCTACTTTCAATATCCGGCTTTCCTACACTTTCCTACTTGGGTTCTATTTAAATACATATCTACGTACGTAATTCATGCTTGAAAATCATGCAAATCTACAATTGATATTACATAGTTACACTAGCCAACAAAATTGCGTGGCACATCAATTATATTGGATTTTTTCCGTAGAATCAGAATCTGATGTAAAGGTAGAACTAGACAGACTAGAACTTTTTGTAAGGAAATAAAATAGTACTTAAGAAAGCAATATAATTAAATTTTTTCTGTTCTTTGATCTAAAAGCACATTATTTAAGTTATGGGTATGTCCTATTAAAAGGATTCAATTCCATCTCACACTTAAGTATTTTTAAAAATCAGATTCTCATTCTGCGCACCAATCAATCCTGTCGCATTGATTGTTACAGTTTTGTCGGCCGTTGTTATCTATCAGCAACAAGTATTAAACAGAAAAGGGAAAGCTAACGTAATAAAAGTATTTAATTTGTAAATTATAACTACACCACTTGTTAAAATTATAAGCGCGCCACATATTGGCAACTTTTTACAATTAATTTTTTCAAATTTATTTGTGTTATTTTTTTATAAAAAATAGTTTATTCTTTAACCAAAACCTTATTACTTCAAGCTTTCAACTTTGTCCAATATTAAGAAAAATAAATAAATACACTTTCGTAAAAATTTCAAACTTTTAGACACACTTTGAGTATCCAGTTTTGGGGCCCATATAATTTTAGTATAAGAAAGAGCAAATTTGAGGTAGCTAGTAATTTTTACCCTACCGTTGAATATTGTCAATTTTCAACACTCAAAAACCCTCTAAGAATTCTAATTCAAAAGCTTGAAATTTTGACGAACGTTCATTATTTTTTTTTTTTAGTCAAAAGCTAGTATTTATACAGTTTTTATTGAAGCATAAACTATATTTTTGTATAAAAAACTAAAAGTAAGTAACAAAAAAGAAATAATTGTCAATGTGTTGTGTGCGCTTATAATTTTGACAAGGGGTGTATAATACTCGTATTTATAGGTACACAAAGTTTATTTTAGATATATGTATATTTGTGATATTTCACACAAAATAGAGACCATGCGGAAAATTCCATTCATGCATTCGTTAATTGTAGGTTAACTTTTGTTAATCAAAGGCCTACCTCCAACCGCTGTCGAACTTTTGCCTGAAATGCATACGATAAATGAACTGTATTGAAATTCTTTTTTTATACATATGCAATACAATTACAATATTTACTGATTTAAAAAAAACACATATAATATGCATATCTAAAGGTACACGATTCGAGCGCTAGAACTGTTATATTACGCCATTTCTTACTTGTTATGTTCGTCAAATAAATGGCATTCTGTGTAATTCATATACTCGTATTTACTATGTACTATGTGCTATCTTTTAAATTTTTTATATTATTATTTTTGAATTTTAATAGAAAATCCATAAAACTTTCCTTCAAAACTAAACGTATCCATGATGGTACCTAATTTGAAGTTCTATGTAGTGTTCGAGTCACTATAATGGTTTAGATTGCTCCGAAATTCACTTATTGAAGGTACTTGCTCTTATTTGGGCAACATTTTCAAAATATAAAAATTTTCAAACTTTCAATCTGAAGGAATTTCAATTTTTCGAAGTAACCTGGACCCTAAGATATTTTCACATGTGTATCCATATATACGAGATACATTAGTACATAAGCTGTTGCTGTTTTCCAAGCGAATCATAAAATGTTCTCGATTCTATAACTCTCACAAAAATATATTGTGGTTGTTCACGCTTGCCTGATTATCTGGTTAAATGTAATTTTTCTGTAGTGTACTTTTTGCTGAACAACAATAAAATACACTACAGAAAATTTATTTTTAAGCAGATAACCTGATAACCAGGCAAGCGTGAACAAGCACATTGTCTTAATCCGGTTTTATTCGTAAGCTGGAGCGCCTTAAAAGCGCCTCGAAAACTCCTGTTTTTTTATCAAAATATCTACATATATATATAGTTGGAAATAATTTTTCTTGTAGCCTTGATAGAAATTAATACAAATTTAAGAGGTCCGCATCAGGGGTAGGAAAATATCTGTCAACTTTTTACGAGTAATGCAGTTTTTATAGAATAAAGCGTGGGTATTTTCGAAACAGTGGAGCATATTCATAGTCGAAGTAAAGTCGTTCCTAAAGTAAGCTGCAGCTTTTTTGACTTTGAGAATTATCACAAAAAAATGTCACACACATTCCTTAAGTTTTACAAAATAATTTTTTTCATAAAGATGCGTATTTAAGGGCCCTTTAAATGCGCCCAGCCCAAATAGTTATGTAAAAGTTTTAAAATTGAGCAAATTTTTTAAATTCGAAGGGAGCGAGGGATGTTGATTATTAACATAAAAAGGGCAAAAATACAAAATTTTAAACTAACTATATTAAAAGATTGGCTTTTGCTTGGTCTTAACGTTAAAAATTAAACCTGTAAACGAGTTCTTGTTTTAGGATAATTAAGATATTTAATACATCACTCATGGTTTTAGCACAATTATGTTATTTATAAAAAAGCTTATACTATAAAAAAAAATACACTTTAAATAAGCTGCTTTCGATTTGCCAACCAACTATCGACTTGCGAATGAAACAGCAATTCGCTTAGATCGCATTTTTTGAACTAAATTATTTCGTCGAAGTTTGACCAAAACCGTAACTATACCCATATTTGTGTCAACAATTAGTTAGCGAAATCGTGCAATATGCCAACTTATATTCGAAAGCACTGATTTAAGCAACTTACTTACGAGCTGAGCAATTGCATTTGTACACACTACATATGTGCATACATATGTGCATACATACGTAACGACATTTGGCGCGCAACACCTCGCATACGTTAAATGCAATCGAGCGTATTATTTTCGTTACTTTGAATGAGGGCTGCTACAAATATTTTGCGTTTCACAATTACGCCAAATTTTTAACATCGTTAGTTAGTTCAAGGTTTTCTAAATATTCTCCAAACAGCTTTATACGCTTTTGCATACATTTATGTCGTGGCGTTTGTTTTTGCTCCAGAGTAAAAGTGTAAATGTGATGATTAGTAAGTTCATATAGAAAACTATTAAACATTTTTGGAAAACTTTTTTTTTTTCGGATCAAGCGACGAAGCGAATCAATGGAGGGAGTAGCATATCGAAAGCAGCTATAGTAGAAATAATCAATTTGCACCCATAAAACACAAACTTACTCTTCAGGTTTTGGATGGTGTCGAACTATGTGAATTATTCGGCCAGGCGGGTACAGAGGCTAAAAAACGGTAGAAAATAATTATAAGAATTTTCTTATATATGTATGTGCATATAGATGTACATAAGTATGTACTTGAAAATAATAATTCATTCGCGGTTACCTGGTGTAATGTCAAGGCAATAGAGCTGTCTGTGGGATGCGCACTTGTTGAGCGAGCAGAGTCTCTTTGCTGGTACGCCATGAAAACAAAAGAACAAATAAATGCATATACAGTGGTGATTGGCAACATTCTAAAGTGTATTTTTCTTACCTCTTGGTATTGGTTAATATGGATATCTTTGCCAGACATCTCAACAACAGATGTGGGTTCAGCTCCACAACCACAGCAAATAACCGAGCAGGATATTGTTTTCCACTGGAAATATAAATTCAAATATAATAATATTTAATATCACTTGATTCAACTGGTAAGAGTAAAATTCAAAATTTATTTACTCACTTTCGGATCTACACTTCGTTGAATTGCATTAATTAGGTCAGCACGCAAAGCTTCCATTTGGTGTAATCCGATGCGAGGTACTACATCCTTCCCCAACACAACGGATGTGATAAAAGATTTCGTGTATTCAACCGCAGGCATACTTTAAAATTGATGATTAAGATTTACTAATGGCACATACATATGTATAAATTTCGTATCGATCAGTAGTTACCTAAGTAGCCCACCTGGTGGGGAATAACTAAAGCACTGCAGCGAAGGATAGTCTGCTTTCATGAGTATGGCTAAAATAGCCGCAGTCCCAGCGCCAAGTGAATGACCCACCAAAACTAGGCCAAATTTATGTGTTCCCCTATCACGATTATGACTTAGCGCTCGCTCGATCAGTCCTTCTTCCTCTAATTTATTCTTAATATAAATAGCCGCCTGCACCATCCCTTTGTGGCCCAGCCAATCGTCTCGCGGTGGTGAGAGCGGCAATACTTCTCCGTCTGCATTTAGATCTGTGAGTATATCCTTCATACTAAGTGTTCCTCGTATGCTAACAACAATTTTCTTTTGTGTGTAATCTACAGCTACAAAGAACGGCGTTTCACCAACATCAACATGATAGGTGGCATAGATGATTTCTATATCACCAACTTGCAATGTTTTCTTTAGGGCGGCATAATTACAAAAACAACAGTTGTCTTGTATAACAGTGGGTGGTGTATCAGTTTGGGGACGGCAACAACAAGTAAAGCATCTTAATTGCGAATATACAAGAAACAAATGTACATTGATATGTAGGTTATGCACGTACATATATAGAGTATGTATGTATGTATGTAAAGGCATAAATAAATGCTAATTATTTACTCACTTTAACTCAGGCAGCAAATTATACAGTTTAGAGCGATTTATTATGAAGTACATTGGCCAGCCGTAGGCACCCTGAGCGAAATACATGTAGTGTATGATTGTTTGGAAGAAATCGTAGTTTTTAGCATCGTTTAAAGCTAGGAACTGAGTGCGTTCAGTGATTGGCACGCCGCTCAGGAACTCGTATGTGCCGTTCTTTCGCTGAAAAGAAGAAAAAAAATAGTCGTAAAATATATATGTATGTGCAAACGTAGTTTTTAGAAGACCTATTCAATTCCTTAACCCTTGAAACCAAAGAAAAACTTTGCGGACACATTTTTAAGCTCTTTTACTCATAAAAACCCAACTATTTAGAGCTAACATTTTTGAATAAAGAATTAAGAAAAAAAGTAACTCACCAACAGAGAATGATTGTAGATTTTCCTTACGAAGTATAATTGTGACTAGTAAAAATGGAACTAATCCTGTGCATTAAACTACAATATTTGCTTCACCAAAATAATAGATCAGACCAGCCTACCAGTTTACCAAAAAAATAAAACTTTTCCTTCGTATTTTTTAAATATATTAGGGGTATTCTCGAAGTCTTGCACGTAGCACGGATTGTATGAAATGCAAAAATACTATTCCAAAATTGCAAGAGTACGACAGCCGCCCACTGCTAAATGGTAGCAAGCATAGGCAACAAGTAGCGAAATTCTGTATCAATAATAATAATAAGATAATAGGGGTATTCTCTGAGTCTTGCAAAGCCCTTGCAAGGTGCACGGATTGCACGGTTTGCATAGCTGTCCCATACGAAAACCGGTTTTTTCCGTGCAATCCGTGCAATCTGTGCACCGTGCAAGGGCTTTGCAAGACTCAGAGAATACCCCTATAGAAAAAAATGAAGTGAGCGAAATGAGGGAAATAAGCAGCAATTCCAAGAACAAAATAACTAGCACATCGTCGCATTTGTCTTGCTACTATATTTTTTTGCAAAATATATACATATATGGGTTTCGACGTTGCATATTTTGCAGCGATAGGAAATGTTGTTTCCCATGTATTTTTTTTTTTTTGTTGTGTGTTTGCAAGTTATGCAATCCGTACAATCCATGCTACGTGCAACGGCTGTGCAAGATTTCGAGAATATCCCTATTCTAATTAATAGAGGTCGGATTTGTATGCAAAAGAATAAGCCTAAACATATGTATGTGTCATCATAACTATAAACAAAATACAGTCAGCGTCAAGAATACTTATACCCTGACGTTTTCACGATTTTATTTATTTATGTTTTCCATCCCAAATTTTTCGTATCTAATATATAAAAATCTCGTGTCACGGTGTTAGTGGTAGAACTCCTTCTAAACGGCTCGACCGATCTTTATGAAATTTTTTGTGTATATATGGTAGGTATGAGAATCGGATGTAAAGTATATTTCATACCGCTAGCTGTAGGGGGCGTGGCACCTCCCATACAAACCGAATTTTTCATACTGCATATCTCTGGATGTATTTATGGAAGAGTACTGGAACTTGGTATGCACAAGATATATGTATAAAATCAGTCGCGTGGTCATGAAGAAAAATTGGGGCTATTGGAAAAAGGGGCGTGGCACCTCCCATGGTAGATTACTCGAAAATGGTATGGAGATATATGGAATCAATCCCATACTCTTAGGGAAAATTTGGGCTATTTGAAAATGGGGCGTGGCGCCTTTCAAGCGCACTGAAACTATTACGTTCCTTTGTACACATGTACAGTTTTGCTAGGTTATTTAAGACGGAAATGGAAATATGCCTTCTGACAACCACCAAACCGTAATATTAGAAGATAAATGCGTCACTGAAAATCATGAACGTGAACTGTTGGTGAAAATGTTAGACCAAAATGTTTCAATACAAAAAATTTATTTTGGGCGGAACGAAGTTCGCCGGGTCTGCTAGTTGTTTCTTAATAATAAAATTCATTCATTGGTATTTCTTGCATATGTATTCCCCGAGTCCTGTATGAAACTAAAAATTAATTCTTGTGTTTTGCTGTTGAATGAACTATATATAATTTTTTTAAATAAGTAAATGTTCGTATGTACGTCAGGGTATGTTTGACGCTGACTTATTATGGTATGTACATATTTTTATGCTCATGTCAGAACTTTTTTTCTAAACTTCAGCAGGAATCGAACCCGCATAATTGATGGGAAAAGTCAGCCATGCTAACCACGGAACTATGCACACCCTGTAAACTCAACCTACTACTATCAAGTGCAGCTGATTCGCCGCTATTTAATTTTTTTCGTCTGAATTATCCCTTCATCTAGATACTATTCATAGAAAAAAAAAAACATTTGATATTCACCCCTATGATCTTATAATAGGTACTAGTTCGAGCGATGAAAAAAAAAATAAATGCCTCCCTAAAAACCGTATTAATGATCCTGGTGGAATCCTTCACCATGTTCTTCGCTAATGTTTTTTTTTTTTTTATCTAAGGGGTAGCATTTTTGCCATTTTTCGACACTTCAACAGTTTTTTTTTCCAAAAACTGGACTTTCTAGAAAAATTATGTTAATGCACTTCATATCAGCATCAAAAAATCTATAAGATGAGGTCGGCCCCGTTTTTAAATTAGGCAATTTTTAGAAAACATATTAGGCACACTAAAAATTAGCATGGAACTTTGGCGTACATATTTAATAAGGGGGAATTTGCCTTGTTATATGCAGCAATGAGTCATATTCAAAGTTATCTCATACAAATAGACATATGTATGCGGCTGCAACGGATGCCTTGATTGATAAAGCTTTTAATTTCAAAATGCTTCCTGCATCTAATTACGAAATATTGTGAGCATGATTTAGAATAAAGACATAAACATGTTTACATTAATGAAATTTTTCCTATAAATAAGGAAACTAAATTAAGGCAAATTTGTACATATAGTTATTAAAAGATATTTAATACCCCACTAACGATTTTTAGGTTATTAAAAACTTGTATTCGTATATATTTTAGTTTAAAAACTTTACGGTTTAAAAGCCTTACCTGGCGAACAACGGCTTCGCGTTCTATTCTTTGAAATTTTCGCAATAACACCAAACCTGCCACGACATCTGATGGCACCACATCTAGTTCGCGAAAGAAATCGCTAAGCAGACGGGCTATGTCGGTGAAGGAATTCCGATTGCGATCGGTGCTACGCATGCAACAGAACAATAGACGGCATCGATGGTCCCAACTGTCTTGATACGCACGCATCACTTTTCTGGGAAAAAAAAAATATATAATAATAATAGATTAAATAATTTTACATTGAAAATCAATTTCGATAAATGTACAAATATATGCATTTGTTCAAATGTAAACTAACCGTTGACGCCAATTGCGATTCATGCTGTTGCTGCGCTTATAATTGAAGCGAGATTCAGTCTCTCTCATTGACCTTTGATACTTTTTCATTTTAACCCATGAACGGCCGGCAGCATCGAATGTACACCAAATGGTAATAAGAGTTATGAACACCAATGCCCAGTTGCAAATAACAATTGCTGTGAGGATATACAAATTTTAAAAGTTACGAGAAAACGTAGAAATATTACATCGAATAGGTATAATTACCCATGAAAATCTTCTTGGCCTCATCGATGGGCGAATTAAAATAATAGTTTGTCAACCATATTGTACCTAATACTAACCAAGTAATATCAAAAAATATTACCACTGTGTAAAGAAAGAAAAATAAAAAAAAAATTTTTAATCATTTTAAAAAGATAAAGTAGTTATCTATAGTCGCGTACTTATCGTAGTCATCAATTCGAAAAGCATTAATTAATTAATTCTTGGAAAATGCGTTTTTAAATATTTCGCTAGTTTGCTGCCATTGACCCCACTACAAAATTTATTTATTATGAACAGCTCTGCAAGCATTTGCTATGAAAATTTGTCATTTAAGGCATTTTGAATTGGTGGTAACGATATGAATGATTGCAACTAAGACCAACTACTCACCGAGTCATAATTATAAGCACACGACATATTGACAAATTTGAGCAATTTATTTTTTACAAGCTTTTATTTAACTTCACTTGTATGTCCTGAAATTTCGCAATACATTTTTAACCAACTTCCCGAAGAGCTAGATACTTGAAACTTCAAACTTAGATCGGAACCCGATGAAAATGCGATATGAGAAATTAATCAGACTTCTTAGAAAGATTTTGAAAGTTCGCTTTTGTAGCCCATTCGGTTTTAGTATAACAAAGTGCAAGTTTTTATGGTTTTATAAAAATAACTAAAATTCAATTAAAAAAAAGCATTTATGGTTGAACCTTGTCAAAATGTTGTGCGCTTATAATTATGACACGGGGTGTATACTTTGGCTTTATGTATTGCTCGAGGTCGAACGAGTGGAACATATAAATGGTCGCTTCAAAGAATGTTGTAAGCGACAATTTATTCAAAGCTAGTTTCCTTAATTTTAAAGATATTAATTTGTATATTTTATTTTTGTAAAGGCAAGATTCTTGAAGACTGCTATACCGAAAAAGTAGAAAACCAAATCAAATCCGCGATGTGCGTCAGTGAACCAGTTTTTTTTTCTATTTTGTAAAATTATAATTTTGTAGCTTACAACGTTATTTGAGGCTTTAAATACGACCTCGAAAATATTCACCGATTTACAGTATTTTTAATTGTTAACTATAATGTTCTTATGTATTGTATATAAGTTCTAAATTTTCTATAGTATTATACAGTCACTAATACTTGTATATCGTCGTTTAAAGTACAAAACGGCGTATCGTAGTTCCGACATTTGTGCCAAAAAAAAAATATTTTTGCTCACCGGAAGCTGCTGGCATCAAGCCCTTATCAATTTATACTTAAATATCGATATCTAGGTATAAAAAGAAGAGATAATTAGGGATAAAAAAGAGAACCGTTTTGAAATAATAGAGGTTTTGCTCTCTCCAGTAAAATTTGGGCAGCCTCACATACGAGGTTTTTCATTATATTGATACGCGGTTTTGTACTTTAAACAAAAGACAACACCTCAACATTTAGACTAGTTTTGATTATTTTTCGTTGCCTTTTGTTTTGATTTTTAATTGTCATACTTTTTTATAAAAGAGTTTAGCTCATTATTTAACAAAAACCATATAAATTCAAATTTCAAAAATTTAAGAGCTTGTAATTTTTCTTAAACTTTATGGAATTTTTCTAATTTTGTATTTAAATGAGTTTTGTTAGATAATGCGCTTTACTTTCACGGGCTGTAAATATGTGTAAAATTGATATCTATTTAATTTCTAAAAAATTTACAAGCCTTAAAAACCACTTACTGCTCTTAAAATATATCCAAAAGTTAATCGTTGTTCGTGCGGCAGAGTCCAGAATACTACCCCGCATAGATATAATACAGATACCCGCCTCAACGCAAACTGAACCTAGGTTAAAAATCGAACATAAATATACAGAAAGTTTTAGGATTTCCTTTATATACATATCTACATATGTATGTATGTCCTTGTAGATACTTACAAAATAAAATTATCACATAAGAAATGTAGAGACAGAATAGTAGTTTTAAGTTCAAAACCGTGAGATTGTACTCGAATACCAATAATGATGCCAACACAATTACAAAACTGTAAAAAGCATACATTAGTATATCGAAATTCATTTAGTTATTCAACAAAAAATCTTACCATATAAGATGTGTAATTAACAAAAATGCTCCTGGCACTACGAGATCATCTGAGCCTACTGACCAACGCCGCCTAAAAACAACGAGTCCAGGCATCTGAAAAATATTGAATGCAATAAACAGAAATATGTACTAGTTACACATATACCACAGGTTAAAATTATAGTGTTAATATTTTTTTTATTTGCATACGAGTACCTATAAAAATTCATATGTATATTTGTATCGAGCGAAAAGTTGCTAAGTCCACTTTTTAGGAAAGCTAATATTTTGATACTGGAGGATAGAGAAATTAAAAATGCATTGTTTTGAAAAGCATAAAGGTACTTGTTTAATTTATCCTAATTTATATTCAATGAAAGAAAAATTTGCTAAGTCCAAAAGAAGGACGGAAAATGTAAACCAGCCGCGATGTCTGAGTTTGATATCTCCTAAAACGGTTATTAGATTTTAAACAGGTTAGCCCCGACTTCTTAAATCTGAGTTGCAGAGCTAAATCTCTCAGAAAATATAATTTTTAAAAGCGTGCAAAATTACTAGCCTCCCACAAATGGAGGGACCTTCAGTTTTATGCCGTCTTCGAACAGCGAATGGTTTTTATAAGAACCATTTTGAAGTTAGAAATACAATAAACTATCGATCAAACTACAAAACAATGGATGTTGCTCGAACCAGAAATCGAACCTGGGTGCTACCGAGTGGGAGTGCGCATCCCTAACCACTCGGACACAGCGGCCACCTTTGTTAAGAATGTTACAAAATAGCGCTGGGCGTTCTATCCGGATTTTTTAAACATCCGGGTTTTCGAATATTTGTTAAAAAAAAAAATCCGAATATTCGCATAACAAATTCAACGGATATTAACCGGATATCCGGAAACTCAGATTTTCGAATATAAAAGTATTAAGTGTATTTATGAAAACGCTTCGTAAATGCCTCGTAACTGCGTAAACCTCGTAGATAATTTGATTTTTCATACAAAGTATAGTAAGTTTACGAGGTTTACATGGTTTTGAGGCATTTACGCGTTTTGATGAATTGCCCTGTTATTTATTTTGCAACTCAGAAGATTCAAAATGCTGAGAATAATTTTACGAACATTCGGAACATTTTAGCACATCTGGACAAGAAAAACGAGCGGATATTAACCGACTGCCCAGATTCTATCTGTATATACAGCCCTATTATAAAGTATGACAAGAAGATAGAGAAATCTTTCAGACTAACAAATTGGTGCAGTACTATTTTTCTTATGATTTTTTTTGGTGACTTTGTATAAGTTGACCGGTTTTACTAAAGAAAAAAGCAGGTCTACATATTCGGCATCAAGGTAAGAGTTTGTGTCGAAGTTTTTTCAGACTAAGTAGTAACCAAGGTACATTGAACAGGTAGTATCAGTAGAGCAGCTGATTTGATTTATTTTCAAATTATTTGGTCTCGAAAATGTCAAATATTTTTTATTTTTTCTCACAAAAATTCTGAATTGTTAAAATCCATTTGCATGTGAAACCTTTTTCCATACAAAACAAGCGATTGAATAGCAGCTTTTGGAACGTTCGCCCAACTCAGCAGCACAACCGCTGATTACTGGGCCTTGCAAAGGATTGATCAATACTTCGAGAAGCAAACAAATTTACTAGGAAAGAAAGTTGCAACAATTTTTATTTTTTCCAATTTCAATTTTTTATTTTTTATAATTTTTTGTATTTCACATGGCACGCTTTGATTTAGAAGAAAAAATTCAGAACAGTTTTTGACACTTTCGATACCAGAAGCAACAACAAAATACACGCAAATGTTGTTTTTGCTCTACTGATACTACCTGTTTAATGTGCCTTGGTAGTAACATAACAGACTCTCTGATCCCAAATATATACATTTGTATGTTAGCGTTCCACTTTTTAAATCATGTACATATGCACGTTTTTATTAAACGCAATGAAAACAATCACAAATATTGCTTAAGAATTTTAAATAACTTTTAAATACTAAGATTTTTATTTTTAGATCATTGCTAAATCGTTAATTTTTTACTCTTACTTTTCAAATAAAAAATAGTCGTAATTTTTTAATTTTTTTCGGTTAAGTCCAGGAATGCAATGCGACTGGAATAAGACTCAAATTTTAGCATTTGCTGTAGTAATGATCCTCCATGAATCTCACCTCTCTAGGACAATTCTAATAGTTGCCGCCGCGAGCCTTTAGTTTTCCCATAGGAATTACACGTAAGAAAATGAGTTATTTCCTTTTGAGGTCAATATAATTTTCTAGGATCAATGAAAACGCACGAAATTGTAAGAATATGTACATTGATTACATGCCATTTAAGTATTATGCAGACTCAGATTATTTAAATTGCTAAATCCTTTTTTAATCCCATGTCCTATTTCGGTCAAATCCATGGACCGTAAATAACCGCTTTTCAACAGTTAAACTTGGCCAGATATTTTTAAGTCCAAAATAAAGGTATTTTCCTAATAATAAACAAACCGCTTATCCAAATTAAACAAGTTTGGTATCAAATGAAAGAGGACTAAAATAGCTTTAAAAATGTTTAAAACAATGTTTAACGAGGAAAGCCAGCTATTGAAAACTATTTCAATAAAAAAACTTTATTTAAAACCTTGGGACAGGTATGTAAATTTCTTTTGAATTAGATTATAAACAAAAAAATACAAATAGAAGTGTTAACCTTCGTTCGTTACTCCTATTTAAGTCCGTATGTATGTACTACATAGTTATGTACCTACATTCACATTTACCTTTATTTATGTTAAGAAGAGCTCCTTATTATTGACGATATTGGAAGAATCCGGTACTGATATTGATGAATTGTGGAAAAGCTGAAAGGATTATCATTCCGGTGTCGATAGATAGCGCGTTTGTGGCATTGGCAGCATTGTCAGCTACTTAATAATATTTCTTTCTCTTTGACATAACTTTAGTTAAGTTTATGATGCCAATTATTTCGTTTTCCATAAAATGTAAGAAGCAGACTTTTGGTGGACTTAAATCCGAAACGTGATTCCGCGATGAAAATTATAGACTGTTACCTAACCGTGAATGGAGTGTGTGTGAAAATCATTGACCATTTCGCAATTCCAAAAATTTGAAGACCTAAATTATCCTACAGAGTGCGTAAAAGTACGCGAATGCAATGTAATACACATGAATAAACGTACACACATTCATATGTATATGCCGAACCATATGTACATATTGTAAATTTAATAGAACATGGGACGCACCGGCGTCAGATAAATACAGGGACGGGCCCTGACACATCTACATACAAACATATGTACAAAGGTGTACGCGCCTCTTTGACTTCATACATCTGACGCCAAGCACTACTAGCAACGGGCCAACAGTGAAATTCGATCGATAAATGTTAAATGCACTAATGACACAAATTTAAATTTTATCGTGCGACACGTTTCGTCTTTTCGCATTATTTTGCGCTCTGCCATTTCCACATCGTTTGTGTTTGTTTATATCCAGTATCACTCCACTTTGTTAAATCTTGCATTGAATTTTTTTATTTAATTTATTTTTTATTTATTTACTGTGCATGCATATGCTTTTATCACTTCCAATTATTTTGTGTCACCTCCACATTTGCACTGCGCCCGCATCAACTTCTGCACACAAATTTGTGTATCATTCAGCACTGTGGCATCAACGTCAACGTGAAAAAGTCAACGCCGGCGTTAGCGTCTACGCTAACGTCAAAGACAGCAGCATCAGCGAAAGCGACCAAACATTGCCTTCTGCAGCAATGCCGATGGCCAGCAATTATATACAAACACACATGCTATACATATGTATACATATGTACACTTGTATGTAATCGTCAGATACACATTACTACTTAAAAAATGTGTGAATTTTCAGACGCATCCCTAAACTTCACAAGGATTTTTATAGTCGAACAAGTTTTCACTTGGCTATTTTTTGCAATAACTCGTTAAAGTAAACTTGTTTTATATACTTTTACAATATCCAGGCCAAGTTATGGACTATTTAACACGCTTGAAAATCAAAATTAAACGCAAAGCACCAGCCATATAGTAGAAATTTAGCCACCGACAAGCAGCACGTCCACTCTCTTCGTTACCACAATGGAAAATGATACAAAATATAAAGTGAAATTGCAATGTTCTCGTCGCTGCTCGAAAGAGAAAAGGTGCACACAAACACACGTACATAGGTAGGTCCATTCTCTCTAGTCGCTCAATTCAATATTTCGTTTTGTAAGAAGACCAACATAACTCCGTATGTAAAATGCCGGGAAAACTATAAATTACTAGTGAACCCGCATGGCAGTAAAACGCCCAAAATCGAATTTCAAGAATCCAAAAAATATTCCAAATGTTAATCAGAGTTATAAGCAATCCGAGTGCCATATTTCATCTAAATGAGGTGCCGCCGTTTCTAAGTGAAGAAAGCTCTCGAATAGTTTCGGTTTTTAATATTTCCAAAATTTCAAATCACCCTGTACCGATAAAAAAAAGTTCAAACTTAAAAAACTTATACGGCCCAAGGTCTTTATTCCACCTCTCATACTTGAAATTAGAAAGAACGGTGCAAATCTAATGACCTTCACAAAAAATTCCCTTTCGAATAATATTCGTATATACATACTTAGTTAGATCAGTATGACCGAAAAGTAGGCAAGCCTCACAAAAGATATGTATTTATTTATTTGAGGTTTCATTTTAATTGTTCATAAAACTTGTGTATAAGTTGACCAAACTTGACTGGTGAAAATCCTTTTCAAACGTATTTTCAAGCTAAAATCTTTTTCAATCTCTTCCTCTTGTGATACAAATTTCAATTAACTGATGTATTAATTTGAATTTGATTTTTCAAACACGTGGCAGCCCTCCTAAATAAAGGTCAAATATAAAGCCTTTTCAAACCCATTTCGATTGATACCCATATCTAGATAATTTATCCAATTTACAAAATAAATTGAATGTAACTTTTTAAACAGGTGGCAATTCTTTTATAACTTTATAACTGTTCCTACTAAAGATTACTTAAACTCTATCGTATGACACCCGTATTTCAATATTTGTTATAATTTGTATATAAGTTAATCAAATTCGACTTTTCAAACCGGCGGCAACCCTTGTATTTTCAAGCTAAAACATTCCTAAAATTCCTTCGCCTAGTATGGTGATGAATATTTTAAATAACTGATGAATTAAGTTGAATCTGATGTTTTAAACATGTGGCAACCTCCTAAATATACTTCAGAATTAAAGCGTTTTCAAACACATTTTGACCGATATCCATATTTTAGTTATTCATTTGGCTTTTAAAATAATTTGAATTTAACTTTTTAAACCTGTGGCAACCCTCTTCAAACACCTCAAAAATATTTCTAGTGTTCCAACTAGAGATTTCATAAAAATTTTTTTGCAACCCATTTCGATTGATATACCAATATTTTAATAATTTATTTAGCTTAGTAAATAATTTGAATTTAACTTTTTAAACAGGTGGCATCCCTCTTTAAATACCTCAAAAATATTGTTGGTGTTGAAATTCAAGATTTCTTAACACTCTTTGGTTTGTCATATTTTAAATATTTCGTTGTGTATAAGTTAACTGAATTCTACTCTTGAAACAAGTGGCAACCCTCTTAAAAGTATTTACAAACTATTGCCTTCTTAAAATCTTTTTGTTTAGCGCCCACATGGTGATACATATGTGTGCCCATTACCTAATTCCCTTAATTTAAATTTAATTTAATTTTTTTAAACAGGTAGCACCTCTCCACTGAAGTTAGGAAACACAGCTTTTTAAACCCATTTCGATTAATACCCATTTTGTAATAATTGGTTTAACTTTTTAAATAATTTCAACTTAATTTTTTAAAAGTTGACAACTTTTTTCCAAAAATTAAAACCACATTGCACATTTACAGCCCGCGCCCTTTAATTTAACACCTCACTTTTGAAAATCAAACGAATGGTGAAGATCTGATGGCATTGATTATTAAATAACTTGAGTATATTTGTTTTACAGGTGGCAACACTTTTCGTAAAAATAAAACAAGTTTGCACATCTGCAGGCCAAGCGGTTTAATTTGACACCCTATTTTTGAAAATCGAGCAAACGGTGCAGATCTTATATCCTGGACAAAAAAAATGTAATATGTTCAATATAACAGATAACCAAAGTTCCCAAATATGGCGAATATATGTGTCTTCCCACCTGTCTTTTTATATAAATACCAACTGTATGAATTGATAAAAATTTGATTGCGTTTTGCCACAAAATTTGAAATTAATTGAAATATTTCGTTATATTATTAAACGTGCGATATACAACATTCTTTATGTTTTAAAAACTAAATTCAAAGATTTTATGCATTTAAATAAGTGTTGTACTAAATTGAGGCTAACTTGTTAAAAAAAAAAATTATTTCAATTTGCATACACTCACACTTTGCAAATTGCCTATCAGCAATTTTTCTTTCAAGACGATAGGCAATTTTTCGTTTAATTTGTGAGCGAGAAAATTGTGTGTTTAAAAAAAACATGGAAAAACAAAAAACTGAGCAAATTGAAAGCATTTCTATTTTCAATGTATAAACGCAAAGTAAGCGAACAAATTTTAGTGCTCAATTTGGTTGCACTATCAAAACATTTTTGCCTACCAAAAGCTTCATCATCAAATCAACCAAGCTACCACTTGCCGGTCCTATTCAGAGCTAACACGTTTCTAATTTCTATAGTGTATACAACTGGTTTATCTTACTTTGGCATTGGACTTTTGTTTTAGTAATGTGTAATTTTTCGCGATTACTTGGATCGTTGAATGAGTAAAGCCACTTAATTGTTTCGCATTAAATTTTGCATTGAATTTTGGCTGAAAAGAAAGCATTTTGTGGTCAAATTGTTTGCATTTTTTATTTGATGGCATTTAATAAATTTTTTGAATCGCGAGTTTTTTTTTACTTTTTCTATCTTGCTATAAGTTAACCACTGAACCATCTATACTGAACTTCAGAGATCCTTACGAACCGCTTCTTGATCGCATACAGTGCCTCGAACTAATGAACCAAACCCAGCTTAAGGTTCAATATTTTGTGATTGATTTAGAGAATGTTCCTTATACATATTAGGGAAATAACACTCAATTCTTTCAACTCAATTTCTTTTAGTGTTTGTTCATATACATATGTATGCAGCTACTACACGTTCTACAAAAGTGGCTTAACTCAAAATATACTCTTTTTAATATAAGCAATATTCGTCTGTTATTTTCTACAAAAAAAACACACACACAGTTAAGGCTCCCTTCTCCATATGATTAACCTAAACTCAGAAATAGTTGTTTGTGTTTTCTGTAAAACGGCGATTTACGAGCTAATACATTTTTGAAGAACGTGTGCGATGTTTTTAATTTTGAGATTTACGAGTACGCTGTTGCCCCTTACATATCCTCTATGTTTCACAAATGAAAAGTCAAGAAATCATATGGTTTTGAATGCGAAAGCGCTTTTTATTTATTTTTTATATATATATTTGCATTTAAGTTTCTTAATTTGTTTACAACAAAGTATTTAGATATATAAACTTTGTTATGTTTAGTCTTAAAAGCAAAAACATACTCAATTAGAATTATAGATAATTTATTGTATTTTAGAATAAAAAAGTACGAAAGTTAAACACACAATAACATACCAAACAACTTTCGTTACATACTTGCATACGTAGTACGTACATAAGCATGTACATATGTATGATCCATTCAAAGTACAAATGCGAGTTTCTACATTCATACGCACACATGTATGTACATTAGGGTGGTCCAAAAAAAAGTAAAGTCGGAAATTTAATGCTCTCACCCCCTAGGATTGTTCTATACCAAAAAAAAATATAACCCTGTTTTTTTTATTTTAAAATCAAAATATATTTAGAGGTCGCTCA